ACCTCGTTCTTGGGGGTAGGGAGCCTTTTATAACCACCTCGCGCACTCACTCCCAGGCTTCTGTCAGATCGGGCATGATTATCTCTGAGCTCCTGTCAGTTCGGATGTCAGCCCCTCTGGTCGGGCAGAACCGCCACTGCTCCTTTTGTCGGAGCCGTCCCTGCGGCTGGTGACAACGGTGGCAGGAGACCGTTTGAAGTGCGGCTGTCAGGCGTCAGATCCCAAATCAGTCAGGCACGCAGCCCTTGGATACGGACTCCCTCGGTGTCAGGTATGTTTGGTCAGTCTGGTGTTTCGGAGGCGAAGTACTAGGGTGGCGAGCAAGATGGTCTTGAGTTCGGTTTGGGGAGTGTTCCGAGCTGCCGTGGACCAGCTCGGGTCACGGCTTTGTGAGACTTAGGGCCTAAGAGAGAGTTCGGGCTCCTTACAGGGAGCTCGGGTTCTTAGTGGGGAGCTCGGGCTCCTAGTAGGGAGCTCGGGTTCTTAGTAGGGAGCTCGGGCTCCTAGTAGGGAGCTCGGGCTCTTAGTAGGGAGCTCGGGTTCTTAGACTGCTGGTTACCTTTGGTGCCTGTGTTTTGGGCGCTCTGCTGCCCCGAGCTGCTTGCTTTTGCTATGTATCGGGTGATTGCGAGATCGGGTCAAATTTCCCTTCATCATTAACCAAGCAAACTTATCCCCTACAAGTACAATTTGGAGAGATGTAGTAGATGTTATCCTTTGAACTACAACACAAGGAGCCTTGTGATCCTGATTTTTAACATTCCAATAACCAATTAATGAAAATTCAAATCATCAGCACTGTGTATTAATATTTTGATCATGACTGATATTGGACAAGGGAAGAAGCAATTAATTAATAATAAATGAATGGAATGGGGGTTGGGTCATGGGTGTACTCATTGGAAACGATAGTGGGAGGATGAAGATGAAGCGGAAGAGGAAGATGATGAAAAGGAAGGTAAGAAGCAGGTGTGCAACGTATTGCAGAAGAGGCAAATGAAGACGAAGATGATGTCGAGGATGACGATGGACAGAGAGACAATTATTGGAGGAGGGGAAATTGAGGATGAGTCTAAGAGCACGGAAAAAAGCGGAAGCTTAAGAATTCAGTTCGGATTCAGTACGTTTGGACTCAAGGGATTTTCTCTATGAATCTACTAAAATTTTGATATATCATTTCATGCTTAATTGGCTATCATTTACAACTGGTTGGAGCTTAAATAAAAATTGATAAAAAGTATAAAAAAAAAATCTACATTCTGCAACTTGCGAAAAAGACTTACAGAGCAGTCTTTGCAAAGCCCCGTGGCTCAAACCTTCTCCCCCCAACCAGTAACAACAACAAACCTTATCAATGGTGTTCAAACTGCAACAAAACGACAATCGTAGATTTTAGCGATGACAGCAATGGTGTTAACGGAAATTTTCAAACATCAAAGTGTTCAAAGGTGAATGAAACCCCAAAATACAGAAGGTAGAAACCGAGAACAGAAAAGTTAATGAACCCGCTGATTTGTGTCCAAGAATCCTTTGTAAGATTGAAGATCCTAACTCTAACTCATGTTGGCAAAGTTATCAACACCGACCAAGTTAATGAACTCATTGATTTCTGTTCAAAAATCCCTAATACCACTTTTTCGTATTAAAATCTGAAACCCAAGAATCCTTTGAAAAGAAAACCCTGTGCATGACAGCGTGACTGGTTGAATATATTTTTCTTGAAAATATATCTTTGGAGAATTGGAGCTATTGTTTTTACTTTCAGAAGCTTAGTATGGAGGAAGAAAAAGATGTCTCGTGTTTTGCAAATCCAAAGCCAAAACAGGGTTTGTCTTCCCATTAATGGTTAGAGAAGCAAGGCTTGAGTTGCGTTTGGATTGAGAATATAAGGATTTGTCTTGCAAATCAAAGCCACAATCGTGAGGAAGGTTTTGTCTTCCCATTAATGGTTGGGGGAGAAGGGTTCGATTATGAGAATACGAGGGTTTCGAAATTTCTATCAATATTTAGTTAGATTTCTTTACAAAATTTTTATATTTATCAAATTTTGTTTAAAAATATTTTTATCAATCATAACCCACAGAAAACTTCAGTCTAGCACCTAGTCGTGGCAATTGGGTGGGTTGGATGGAGCTTCAACCCATTCCATCTAACCCGCCAACCCATTAATGACCTACTTATACTTATTTAAAATTAAATGGGTTAGGTTCAACTCAAACTCGCTTTAACCCACTCCAACCTGTCCACACCCGTTAATCTTATACTTATGGACTTAAAAAGCAAACTAACTCTCTTTTAACAAATTAGTTGGTCATAGCTTGGTGGTAATAGTAGTTATTATTTGTATAAGTGGTGAGGGTTTAAATCACATTGCATGCATGTTATTTTTACACAAGCGGCGAACCCATTTGACTATGTTCGGATTTTGGGTTTGACCAAATCACTTAGGTTCAAACCGGTCAGCCCATTTAGACCTGAATCAGTCTAGTCAGACTAGACCAGTCCAGTCAATGGTGGATTTACTTGGACTTGCCCATATTAGGTTTGTGCACGGGTTTGGGACCGAACTAATTGGCTCGAAGTGGGTCAACGTGAGTAAATCGAGTTGGTCCAGATCCGGGTCGGGTCGTATAGGAAGTGGTTGGAGCAAAAGGCCTATACCAGGCAACGAGCCACCCGCCTTATCATAAGTTTTTCAGATATCATATCTTTTCCATATCATAGTGGAGCCCGATGGATTTATGTATTGTTGGGTGAAGTGTGTTGATTCCAAGACAAAACTAAATTTAGTGAAATAATTAATAGAAAATTAATACATTAATTATAAATTATTTAATTCAAATGAAGAAAAAAAAGGCTAAGTAAATGGGCGGGTTGGGTCATGGGTTGAACACACAACCCACTAGGACCGAAAGATGTGTCAAAATTTTAGTGGACTCGAAGAGAAAATCCCTTCGAGTCCAAACGCATTGAATCCAAACCGTTAAGAATTTAGGTTATGAGTTTGCTCCTTAGGTAGCAACACTCTTTATTGCTGCCACATTGTTACTACTAGACCTGTTCATGGGTTGGGCCGGGTTCGGGCTGGGCTTTCACTCTGTATTAATAGATTTTTCTAAGGCCTGAGCCCGACCATCAGGCCTACAACTTGGGCCCGAGCCCTGCCCTCATAAAAAGCTCGAAGCCCGGGCCTAGGCCCAAGCTCGAAATTTATCCCATGCTGTTACTATTGTTGAAGCGACTGAATAGAGAGAGAGAGAGAGAAATTATAAATATATATATATATAATTATAAATATATATTTCAATAAATATTATACTATTTATATATTTTATATAATATATAAAATACATATTATGTATTTTACAAAATATATAATGCTGAGTCGGGCCGGGCTTTTTTAACAAATCCCGAGCCCAGCCCAAAACACAATTGGGCTTACTGTGTTAGGCCCGAAGTCAGGCCCGGGCCTAATTACATGACCAAGCCCGACCGGGGTGCAGGCCGGCCCGGGCCGGGCCATCGGGCTACCCGGCCCATGAACAGGTCTAGTTACTATTATGCTGAAACCATCCTTTGGTGGCTGGAATTCCTCAGTTGATTGGACAGAATATGAAACTTTTGTTCTACTAGATGCTTTGGGGTGATCATTTTCTTCAGGTTGGGAGGAAGAGTCCTCAATCTAACGAATGGCATGAAGTTGTAAACAAGGTTTCTTCAAGTTTGTCTTCTCTTCTTATGGCTCGCAAACTACCTTTGTGAGCCAAGCTATCATCAGGCCTCAGCTGTCTGGTGAGCAATGCAGAGGCGTTGGCACCAGGTGAGCTTTGACCACCTGCAAGATGGAGACCCTCAATAAAAAAGAAAAACCTCAATGAAATTGGGTGTTGCAGATCTGGAAGAACAAACAGAGCTGGTGGAAAATTAGAGGGGAGAAGGATCGTGGTGGTGAATCTTTTGAAAGAAAGATTTGTCGAAATCGCTGGCGGCGATGTATAAGGGGAGAGAGACTCTCTTCTTTGTCTTGGAAATAAGGTCTGAGTGGTACCACATTTGGATGTCGGAGACCGTCGTCTTGCCGGTCACCCACAAATTCTAAGTGGCGCTCGAAAATCTCCTTATCGGTCACCGTTGTCTTGCTGGCATCGGGTCATCCCCCTCCCCAGCATCTCCACTGGTTAAGGAGAGAGAGAGGAGGTGGAGGGGGCTATTGTCGCCGATTAAAGATCGAACTAATTCGGTTTGCCGCTGTTGAAAGGAAGAAGAAGGTAAGGGTAAAATTGGGTTTTAAAAAATATATACATTATGTGTGTATAAATTTTGACGGAATATCAACGAATGTTAACGGTAAGGATAAAACTAATCAATTATTAGACACAGTGAGATATCGTTAGACAAAAGACAAACAATAATGGTATACTTAATAAATTTAGCAAACAGTAGGGAGTTTAAGAGATTTGCCTTTTTTTTTTCTACTACTTTGACAGAAAGAAGAACAACCCAGAGAAGCGTTCGATTATTCGCTCGTCAGTTGGGGTTACAGTTTCGTTTCTCCGGTAAGAGTTTTTTTTTTTTAATAATTTTGAGATAGTGGAGTCGTTTAGGATTTGATTTTTGGCCACCTTTTTTCTCGATTTCTTCAATTATGTTGTAATTTCTCTATGATTTATTTTTCTACTTTGGCTGCCTTTGTTTTGATGAAAAAGAGTTGGAAAACAATGTTTTCGCCTTTAAAGGGGCGGAAATATGGCTAACTGTTTTAGTTTTGAACTGTTTTCAGTCCCTTCTACGCAGAAGTCCAACGGAGCCGTTATTGAAATTATTTTGGGCTTAGCTGAATAGCGACGGTAGGCTTTTGTCAATTTGAAAATTGAATCGTTACTACTTTTACGTTTTAACGAATTTAATTCCTTAATCGAGAACTTGTGATTTGGCTGGAAGGTTTTCCTTTTGTGTAGAAAGGAATTTGATACCCTAGCGAATTTGATATCTTTTGTTCATAATTTGCCTAATAGTTCTACCATGTTGATGGTCAGTATCAGTTGGTTGGCATGATGGCCGGCTAATTCCTAGCTTGTTCCTGATGAAATTTCTTGAATTTATGAAACGAGTGAAATTTAACGGATGATTAGGTCATTCAAGTTTGAATTTTTGTTTGTTATAGTCAGTTTAGATTTCAGATTCTAAACCTTTGAGTATAATATCTGAAGATTCTGAACCGCTGGGACAATTAGACGGTTCATCTAGTTGACTAGTATACTTTGTGCCTTAATTCTTCAAGGGACCCTGCATTTAGTGCGGTGATTGATCAAGTTTTTTTTTTTTTTCTGATTCTGTTGTTACAGTTCTGGTTGGCGGTGGTGGAAAATGTTTAAAAACACATTTCAGTCTGGGTTTCTATCCATTTTGTACAGCCTTGGGTATGTCTCTTCTGTTGTTCTGCATACATGGTATTGTTAATATTCTGAAACTTTACACTTCTCTTGTGCGCTAAAGTCTGAATTTTTCTTATTGGGTATTTAAACAGGAGCAAGCCTTTGCAAATATGGGATAAAGAAGGTGATTACCTCTTTCGTTTTATTGTTGTATGATCCTTTTCTGCTTAACTGAGCTGTCATCTAGCTATTAGGATAAATCCAGTTTTTTGCATTATTCCTTCCAATTGGAGAACTTACCCTGTTCTCTATTGGTTATAATGGACATAAACCAGTCTATCTTCTTGACAAATGAAATACTGCTAGAAGAAAATTGGTGGTGGTGGTGTGGGGGGGGGGGTGTTGGAGCAATGACATGTCAATGGGATTCAATAGATATGCACAAGCCAGTGATAACCCATTGATCTGACCTTCAATCAGTGAGTTGACTTTTTTGGAAATAGTTATATTAAATAACCAAAACTTATTCAATCTTTTTTCTTTTAAACAATTGGTGAAGTATGTGCAACATTTCACATAAAAGAAAATCTCGATTATGAACATGTCTGGTGCACAAAGAGGTTAAATTCACAATCCATGGTTGCAGCTCTATGCTGTGCTAATATTTCTACAAAAATTGTGTTCCAGCATCTATAAATGCTCCTTTTTTTTGGAACCTCTGCAGTTGCTAATGGCCAAATCAGACGTCTGCAAGATGAAGACATCCAATCTAATGTCCTTGAAATAATTGGATCGAATATCCAATCAACATACATTACGTGCCCAGCAGATCCTGCTGCAACACTTGGTATAAAGCTCCCTTTCTTGGTTATGATCGTGAAGAATCTAAAGAAATATTTCACATTTGAGATTCAAGTGCTGGATGATAAGAATGTCAGGCGTCGTTTCCGAGCTTCTAACTTTCAAGTGTGTAAGTCTTGCCAATTGTTTAGTTGTTGATGTTAGTAATTTCTCTCATAGGCTTATTGTGCTTCAGAATGTATTACTATTGGTAACAACCTTTTGGTAAGATAAACCATTGAATAAATTCTAACGTAAAGATTATAATCACGTATTCTAGTCTAAATTAGGAAAATATTTTAGGAAATTGGATCAAATTTTGTTGGATCCATACTTGGGTTATGTGTTCTGGGAATTCAGATCTTTAATGTCAACTCATATTGTTACATTTATTGCTAAGGACATTGGTTTGGTTTATTTGATTCTTCATGATATATTCAAAATTACTGCTAACAAAACTGATTTATTTATTTGATTATTCATGAATATTAGCTGATGTATTCATCATGTCATGCTTAAGTATATGAAGTTTTTCTTTTGTCTTATGAATGTCCTAGCCCTAGAATAATATGTCTTAAATTTGTGGTTTTTACTTTTTTATATTAGAAGCAAAAAAGGATTAAAGGAGAAAAGATAGTATTAACCAAGGAAATAGGGGAAGAGCAACCAGAGGTGTATGAATCTTCCTTCAGATCTATTGTCTTTGCTTGGTCCATTTCCCCCTTTTATCAATCTTAGTAGAACTTTCTGCAGAAGCATGGAGATCTTAGTTCTTTGTCATTTGGTCAGGTCATTCTTGGACATTACCCATAAGAGTAACAGAGAGTAGGTGTTTCCAATTTCTTACTTAATGTGTATGTACAGATTGCATAGATTAGGGGCACTGCACAGTTTTGGATCTCTATTGATGGTTCTCCAGATATTTGGGATTTGGAGGACTGCAAAATTGAGAATTGAGATAGGAGCCAAGTGTTTTTTTCTTTTTCTTGAAGAATTCTACTAAATGATGAGTTCTTTGTTTACCAGCATTCCTCTTCTATCTATTTGAGTAATAAATCTAACTTGGTTCATTCATGAAAAGAATGGCCATTACCATTGCCATTCTTTCTTGGACATGATTCTTAACCTTTGAAACCTTACTTTGCCACAACTTTTACAAGTTTTTAGAGTAGTATTGCAAGTAAATATAAGTTAAATGGTTTAAGGTGTACCACAGGATAGTAGGCAATGGGGTGCTGTTTGAAAGACGGTGGGGCAAACCAAGGCTCTTAAGCAATGTATTAGTTATTTTTTACTCTCCCTCATATTCTTTTTTCTTTGAGTGGAAAAAACTAGATAGACCCTTGATCACTAAAATAACTGAATGAAATGAACACGTATTAATACAAGTTGGTTACATCTTGGTTATTTATGGAAATTAAATGTTATTTGATATGAATCCATCTAGTTGCTGGCATGACTGACACATAATATTGCCTTTTGATACTCAGATTAATCTGCCATTTGCAACTGACCCAACTGAAATTTATATTCTTCTCAAATAAAATGCCATTATTGGCTTATGCCTCATTGCACACTTTCTTCTCTAGCCTCTCTTACTGCTTATCTTGAGCCTAATAATAAAGCCTTTTTGCTTCTGTAAAGACCTATCCATACAATTTAGGACATGCCTTCCCACTTGTCATGAGCCTTATCATCCACTTAGGATGCAATTGTGATGCAAACAGTCCATTGGCACAATCTATATCCAATTTCAATCATGGAAAGCCCATCCATCTTGGTTAGTTCTCATGAACCTTGTGGAGTTCTCATGAACCTTGTGATCCACTTAGGATGCAATTGTGATGCAAACAGTCCATTGGCACAATCTATATCCAATTTCAATCATGGAAAGCCCATCCATCTTGGTTAGTTCTCATGAACCTTGTGGAGTTCTCATGAACCTTGTGATCCACTTAGGATGCAATTGTGATGCAAGCAGTCCATCGGCACAACCTCTATCCAATTTCAATCATGGAAAGCCCATCAATCTTGGTTAGTTTTCAATTTAAGTGAATAAAAGCCTTGATCCAATTATATGGGGTTGTCTACATGAATATTTTTCCACCGTTATGCTTTGTTCAATGTCATATCCATTGTTTAATCATGGGCTCTCAAACCATTTCTTACTACTTCAACCCATGTCTGTTTTGGCCTATCCTTGCTTCTTCTAGACCCTTAACTTACAATAGGTTGTTTCTTTCAGACACTTCAACCATCTAGAGCCATGTTTAGCTGGCACTAAAACTTTTTTTTTTTTTTCTGAAGAAAATGTATTGTATTGAGAAAAGAAAATATACACCACCCCACCATAGTTTTTGAGGGTTCATTACAGCATTTAGCAATGTTTGTATTGATTAAACCCTGACAAATAAGAAAATAATGAAAAGAAATTGGTATATAAACACACAAAATGAATATTTTAGTATAACAATGTCTATTTTATAATTATAATCTCAAAAAATAAAGAATTAAAAAGTATTTTATAATAGAAAGTACAAAACTGCTTGGTGATTAGGTGAGGTGAGCCTCAAAGGGGAGTTCAAATCAGCTCCTGACAAAATAGTTTCCAACAATGTCCCACAGCCCCCCCCCCGTGTATTGGGAACATCTCCCGATGATAAGTACCAGAAATGATGAGGCATCACCGGGAGATGTTCCCAATACACGACGGGGATATGCTGTTGGACGTTGTGGGAAACTATCTTGTGGGGGGCTGATTTCAACAATGTCCCACACCCACACAGCAAGAAACTGTTCAAAAACTAGCTCCACTTGTATAAAACTTTTGCCAAACTCTCATGGTCATGGATCCTGATTTGTCTTTTTATGCTTATGCTAGGGCATTCCTAGAAGCGATGTACTACACCTTAACCCAAGTGTAGTGTCAAGTGGGCAAGGGATTGCCCATAATTGGCACTGAATAGAATGGAATGGAAAAACAGGATTCATGTAGTCAACTCCATATAGATGGGACAAGACTTAGATGATGATGGCGACGATGAGACAAGGCTTATTGCAATTAATTAAACTATTGCGAACTGGGCTGGTTTTAGACAAAAAACCTATGCCTAATCCCAGAAGTTACTAGGCTAGGCTGGGATAGATATGACCTCCCCTACATATGGCCTTTGTTTTTAACTATAGGCACAATGGTGCTCTTTCACCATGTAGAGAAGATGGGCCGAATGGCCCATAGACTGTTTTCTTATTTGTTTTCCTTATGTTCTTTGCTGTAATGGGCCTCAGCTTGGGTCTTTCTTATGTTATGTCTTTTTAATTATTCGCCTAGTTAAGGGCCTCTCTGTAAATTACTGAAATTAAGTTAATGAAAAGGGATTAGGGGTGTAAGAGGGGACTAGATTTGAAAATCTCTCTCTGAACCCTTATTGCCACCACCTTCTTCTTCCTCTTCTCTCTTCTTGATTCTTGGTTTCTGCTGTTCTCTATCACTTTTTTGCATCTTTTTAACAGTCTGTTTATTTCAGAAGGTTGTTTTTCTTCTTGGTATCAGAATGGGCTCTTCTTTTCTCTCTTTTCTCCTCTTTCTTTCCATACACAATGTATTGAGAGCTGAATCGAATGAATAGTTAAAGAAAATTTTTTCCAGCCCAATTGGTAGTGGTTTTTGGAGAGGAGGCTATCCTTGTCACCACCTTGACAGTATCAAGTGTATTGCCCAAAACCCTAATTAACTGGAGAAATCTGCTTGCGGGCCCCACAGGGAGTTTGACCTTGGCGCTCAGTGATTGAAAGACCTTGTTCTTCATCTTGAAGATCGATTCAAGTTGATTGGTGTTCTATGAAGTCTACAAGGTGCGGCTAGGTTTTTTTTTGTTTCTCTCGGGTTCTAGGTGTGACGCAGTTAATAGGTACAGTTGCATATAGGTTGATTCATAACATGTTGCTGAACACTTTGATGTTTGAAGTTATTGGAAGTTATTTTTGGAGTGTTTTAAGAAGATGGATCATTTAGAAGTTGAAAATAAGCATGTTGCTGAATTCGGACAGGTTCCGGGGGCCTCTGTTGACTCTTTATTGGCTGTGACCACAGTCAAGCTAGATGGAACCAATTATCTGGCATGGTCACAATCAGTAAAAATTCACGTTTGCAATAGAGACAAATGGAGTTGTATTTCCAAAAGCAAGAAGGCTCCCTCGGAAGATGATCCATCATATGAAAAATGGATGCAAGAAAAATACATTGTAATCGAATGGTTAGTAAATTCAGTGCAACCTCAAATTAGTCAACACTATTTGTGGATGAATTCAGCAAAGGAAATATGGGACAATGTTGCTGAAACCTATTCTCAGAAATTGAATGTAGCCAGGGCATACAAGCTAAGGAGTGATGTGAAAAATTTAAGGCAGGGGGAGAAACCTTTGGCTATTTATTTCTCAATATTGAAATCCCTTTGGCAAGAAATTGACTTGACGGAAACTGTAGCCTGGGAAAGTACTAATGGTGCTGAAACCTACAAAAAACTAGTTGAGAGAAACAGGGTGTTTGAATTTTTGATAGGGCTGAATCCCGAGTATGACATCACAAAGCAAAACATCTTATCCAAGGATAGTGTTTCATTGTCTCAGGCCTATGCCTTGGTAAGTAGTGAAGAAAGCAGGAGACTAGTCCAGATTCAAGGGGCTGGTCAAAATGATCACTTTGCTAACATGGGGTTGAAACCTAAGAGAATTACAGGAAGTCCAGGTGGTTCAGGTAAGAAGGAAGTTATTTGTGACTACTGTAAGAAACCAAAGCATACAAAAGACAAGTGCAGAAAATTGCATCCGGAGCTTCTTCCCCTTCGTTCCAAAAGAAGTCTGATAATATGAAGGCAGGAAGTGCCAATATTGCTGCTGGTCCAGATAGTGACAAATGCCTAACTGAAGAGAGGACTGCTAGTGAACAATTAGCAGTTGTGAAGGTAGAGTATGAAAAGTATGGAAGGATGATCAGTCACCTAGCGAGTGTTGCCTCTTCTTCCAACCCTCCGGGAAATTCAATCTCTTCTGCATTTGCTCATTCAGTATACGGGCTTTTGCCAATCATGCAACAATCTCAGGTAATCGTAGGATCCCTTGGATTA